GGGAAGGATCCTGTTATCTTTATCCATCTGATGAATTGATATTTTCCTTCACCAGACAGTTTTCTCCCACGGTTACTCCTTATTGGTTACTGTTGCGAAGCAGACTGCTCTGGAAATGTTTTTTTCTCACTATTTAACAGTTCTCCAGAGTCAAAGAAATTCCTGATCTTAAAATAATGGAGAACATGATAACATTAATGGATATTAGGAAATGAGAAACTCATTAATGTTTTTCCATGGAGAGCCCCAGTGCAGGCAGCAGCTACACCCTCTTGAAGTAGGATCTCGCCACATCTCAGGTTTTCAGCATGACTGGGGCTGTCAGTGTTTTGATAAAGGACATCAGAGGCAATATCATGTTGCTGCTGAAGGAGTGTTGAACTGTAGGTACTGCATTTCACTTGGGACTACCCAAATATGGTGACAGGAAATGATGTGTTGTAAGAGGTGCTTTGATTGATTTTCTTGAGGTCATAACAGATACCATAACAGATACCAAGACCAGGGGTGCTAGCCATGGTGTCTTGGCCAAATTCTACTCTGGGCCTCCCTAGAACCCCCTCGGTTGAGGTGAATTAATTCCTCACGACCTATGGGATCAGATTGACAGTTGTGTGTCGTTCAGCAAGGGCTGCCCTTTAGTGAAAAAAAGAGAAGTGTTGTTTGTAAGTGAATAGTTTCCTGCACCTATTACTTCTGGATGTTTCATATATGAAAAAGTATAAAGTATATACAGCATGGAAACAATTCATAACTTTTTTATTGTTAAATCTGATCAAGGTCTCAAACATCACCTATGAGGTATCATTTGAGTATAATAAATGATAGCAAGAGGAAAGGAGAGAGAGCACAACACTATGATCACTGATAGTGTTTCTAATTGATGTTGAATGTTTCCATTGTTAAAATAATGTCTAACTGGGTCCAAAATAGACAGATGATTTGCCTACTAACATAAAAGAAAAATATGCCAAAACTGAACGTATTGCTACCCCTTTGACCACTTCAGGAGAGTTCTCTTCTCTTTGGCATAAGCTCATTGCTTTCATTTTCACCCAGTCTCTTTAAAGCCCCTTTTCACCATCTGTGCCTCCATCTCCTGTTTCAAAATTCAGCAGTGTTTTACTGTCATTTCCCAGCAAGGGCTGCATCGACGTTCAGCTCGTTTGAAGAAAATAGAGGTTTCTGTACTGGTACGTCAGTGAAGTCTTGCTCCTTTGGAATTTCTAATCTGATCCAGAGATATAAATATAACAAAAAGTCTAAAAGTGATTTTGGATCATGTATTTGATTTTTGTGCACAGATGCTGAATTTCTTCATATTTATGCATAAAACTGAATTTTCCCCAAAAATGAGTGGTCATACGCATTTTCAAAATTTGCATAAGAGCTAAAATTGTGAGCTTGTTCCCATTAAGCTAAGTATACATTTTTCATATTAAACATTTGCTTTTTGCAAATAAGCAGATCCAGATAAAACTGATATGATATGATTGATATGATATTAGTGTAGTCCTTGTCCCATACATACTGTACCATATACTGTATACTGTTTAGTGCATGAAGATGCTGATGTTTCAGTTAGCTTTTTCTTAAGGCTGTTTCCATATATACAGTGGTATTATCCCCTTCATTCATTGTCGCTCTCCATACTTGACAGTTTTCAGTAACACTTTTGTCAGATTCTGGTGAATGTAGTGCTAGAATGACCAGCAGAGTAGAGAGTTCATTAGAATTAACACCAGCAGTTCATAATGACTTTCATTCCCAGCCTGGGCATGAAGTGACTGTCCTATGTGAAGACCCTGGGTGATGAAGAAGATTTAGATTTTTAAAACATACAGTGTTACATAATCCAAAATTTCACTGTTTTTAAAAAACGTTATATTTCTTACATACTTTCTTGGGGAGGGTCATACCTCTTGCTTTTCCCTGTCCTTTTTGGGACTTTAAACAATCAGGTGCTGGTTTTGAAAGAGACATCAAGGGATTTTGGTGTTCAGAGGGACTGCAACAATGCCATGAAAGAGTTTATGTCCTAGCTGTAGGGGATGCAATCTGTATAGTACCTGTCAATGTTAGCGTACAAATAAAATAATGTAAAATCTTTCTTAGTATGATTTGGATTATAAATTGCATTAGATTTATATTATATATAGTTACACTGATGGTATATAATGATACCAGTTACATGTCTGTCATGTGAGGATAGATTAAAATGACTGAAACCTTTTTTGTACTGCATAAAAAGAAACTACCTATCCACTTTGTTGAAGCTGATACTCTGGTATCTTTTCAGAAATAGCTAGAAGGGCTCCTCAGATCAATTAGCAGCAAATTTTCATAAAATCTGAAGGAGGCTTCAAAATGGAGACCAAAACCAAAGGCCCCAATGGAACTTGAGGACAGAGAGCAGAAGGGGCTGTGAACATGAGGAACTAACTATAGAGGAACAGTTACCCTGTTTCAGGGGGAATCCTGATGTGGTTAAATTTCTCATATTCAAAAATCAAAAATAGCTGAGCACCCTCCTCTGTTCTGAAAGCTTTGTGATTTATGTAACCTGTTTACTAAAGATCAGAAGAAAAGCATACAGCATGCAAATGGTTTTCCTCTTTTAGCAACACGCTACAGAGGCTACTCCTCAGCAGACATGCAGAACAGTGTGACTTTCCCTTTCTTTTCTTCTCTGTATTCATAGTAAAATTCATTAGGTATGCAAAGCCCATGTATTCACGTCCATGAGTGCTGAATGAATTCCTTTCATGCTGTAATTGGAGATGTCTATGTAACCACAGAAGCAGGAGAAGAACTGAGGGCCTCCCTTTCTTTGGTGCCTCTGAGTGCTCATTAGAAGTTAGAGGCTTACTCTGAGAATCCCTTTGCTGTTATATAATGTGTTGCATAAACAACCAAGCATTTGGAAGTTGAGGCTGGCTGCAAAATAAATTCTATATTGGGTAGAACGTTTTTGGTAATGTGTTTTTTCCTCATCTTCTGTTCCCGCATTTAGTGGCTGCTCATCTCCAGGGGACACTTATTTGCATGAAAATTATCAACTGAAATAATATAGAACAGAGTCCCAGGATTATACATATTATATTTTAGTACTTGAACTTATCTCTGTAAAGTTTGTAAACAGGCATTTCTGAAAATGTGTGATTATATGCTATTTCTGCAGCTGTGATTTGTTTTTAATTTGGGCATCCATGAAGACCAGTATCCTGCAGCTTTTTAAGTCTGTTTATATCATCAACAGGCAACAGCTTTGAAGAGAACTTGAATTGGTCCAGTTAAGCTTGTGAGGTCTGGTGAGCGCTACACTGGAAAGATCTCCTCACTGACCTCTTCTCCCACTTTGTTTCTTCCATAATTGTTTTTAAATATCGAACCTGGATTGTCCATAGGCAGAGACAGGAAAAGCTATAGTTGTCTCCCATTCTCTCCTTAGTAGGAATGAAAGAAAGAGATTAATTCTCAAGAACTGTTGAGGAATGGTTGCTACGAGCAGCACTGTGTGAATCAGTAAACACGGCTTCGTGTAAATAGAGGCAAGGTTCTGCCTCCATAATAAAAATAAGTGTGCTTCTTGTTTTTGTATTAAACAGCAGAGCTGTGTGCTCTTTGATGTGATATTTGCTGAAGTAAAGAATGACAGTCAGCAAGTTGGAGGAGTATTGCTGATAACAGACTTGTTTTTGAGTTGTTTTTAACAAACGCATTAAAGACTTGTCCGAGCTCTGCAATCTCGAGGTAGGGATCTCTCGGCAACACAGCCCCCCTCGTGGCCTCTTGCATGCTTTCAGGTTTGGAGGGCTGCCTGTGACATGTTAAAATATGAGTAGCTTATAAACAAGTTGATCAACAAAAAATAACTGATGATTCTAAATGGAGAAAAAAGAAAATAACGTTTCTGACACAATATTCAAAAGCCGGTTGATCCTGAAGGCAGAAGAACAGATATGTACTTAAACTGCCAACTGAAGCACTCTTTTTGCGGTCAGTTAAGGTTTAGGCTAAGTCTAGGCCAGGAATGAGTCCTGGGCTGGAAACATGACTTTAATCACACCATGGTGACTTTCACAAGCAGAAAAAATGCATGAAACAGTTACAGTCTAGAGAACCTACAGCAGTAGTTTGTCATCATTGAAGGAATGAGAAAGGAGAGGACAGGCCACAGAAATCATCCATTAGTGGTGCAGTGTCCAGGGTTTGGTGTAAAATTTGAAACACAACCCAGTGGATTTCCATTTGCTTCTAAGTCTTCACATTCTTAAGCTTTGAGAAGGAAGTCAGCACTGACCCCACTATTGGCTTTGTCCACCAAGGCCTGCCCAGATCTGGCCTGAATTTGCACTGAAGAGCATTCCTGTCTAAGAATGCTAGTCAGTGTCCATGTTTCTTTACTATTACCATGAATCACTGGTCCCATGAGTGTCACCCAACCTTCTACCTACTCTATTGGTCATCTGTACTTTGAGATAGAAACCTCAAATCATTTCTACTTTGCACTGCAGTAATGGGAGCAGAACACAACATTTGCGATGTTATCTGCTGCATTAATTAAAACAGCAGGTCAACCAGACCCACTGCTTTTTCTCTACAAATTTCTGCTGGGTGTGTAAATGTTCAAGCAGTGTCCTTGGTGAACAGCAGGCAGAACACCACAGTCAGCACAAAGGAGCAAAGATCTGAAGCGGTAAAGATCCACACTAAAAAGTTCTCTGTCTCTGAGGCATTGTTATGCTGCTCATTAAATCCACTTGTTTTACTTTCCAGTGATAATGTCCATAGAATATTGCCATTGTGTTTGACAGATGCTTTTATCTAAGCTGACTTAGAGAATTTCACCAGTTTTTAACTTATTACCAGTAAAAAAGCTAAAGAATGAATAGGTTATGTTGCAGACGCTAATAATCTCCCAATTACCGTGTTACAGCATTCTTGAAGATCTGATCCTATTTTTTGTTTGCTTGGGGGGTACGCTTTGTGTCCTTCAGGAACATCGCATCACGGCGGCTATTCACACAGAGCTGTGGTGTACGCACTGCAGGAATGTGGGATTCGCCACATCGACACGGCAAAGCGGTACGGCTGTGAGTCCCAGCTGGCAGAGGCGATCCAGGAGAGTGGGGTGCAGCGAGAGGAGCTCTGGCTCACCACCAAACTGTGGCCCGGTGACTACGGCTACCAGACTGCCAAGCAAGCCTGCCTGGACTCCTGCAGGAGGCTGGGGGTGAAGTACCTAGGTAAGTACACATTCTCTCTCATCTCTGTCATCTCCTGCTCAGATTGTGTCTTTAGCCATTGATGTCCACTACATGCAGCTCCTGTGATTGCAGTCCAGGATCCCAGCACCTTTCACTGAGGGTTTAGAAGTTTAATAAGGAAGAGGCAACTCCAACAGGCCAGTTTAATGTCCAGTTTCAAATGTGCCATTAACAGTGCTGCCATTGCAGTTGAAAAATGCCCTGGAAGACACACCCACAGAGTGCAGGACTGTCATGCTTCTCCTCATGTGAAACAAGGCTTGTCTTTTGAGTGCATGATTGCGTCATGTGTCGCTCTAGAAGGGAGAGCGACCCCTCCTGTTGTGTAATCATTACTTCTAGCAGCATCCTGATTCCTCTTGGATGTCTCCCTTTCAGATACAACCTTGATGAACTTCATAAAGCTGACCGGGCTTCAGGGTGTTGCATACCTGAAGCTGAAAAATGTCTTAAAGGGCTTGGTAATTGAGCCCTTGTTTGGCATTAATTCTAACATATTGTTATACAGAGGGAGATAGTCTGTCTGGCGTCAGACTCCGTCAAGCTGGCCACCTCCTGCCCCTCACAACAAAGCAAGGAAGTGGCAAACACCTGTCACTTTTCTTGCAGCAGGGCTCTGATTAGTTTTACTTGAAATGTCTTGTGCCGTGAACACATTTCTTGGGAGGAAGGGGAACAAAACCTCACTATTTAGTTATATCCTGTAGTTGTTCTTTAAGGAAAAGAAGTGTGCTGAGTCTCACTGTGAACTGCTCTGAAAGAACGCACTTTGATACTGGAAAATGTCCATCACTGCCTGCTCTTCATTCCTAAAATTTTCTAGTTTTCTCTTCAATCAATACATGTGTTCAGCACAATTATGCTGATTGCTGCTTCCTTTTCATTTGCTACTGCATGACACCGTTGTTTCTCTTTCTTGTGTACGATGCAAGATCATTACTATTATTACTACAATTCCAGCAATAAGGTGCTTGTAGTCCAGAAGATGTAATGTGGACTGCTAATGTGTCTACTTGTAGGCCTCCTGCCTCACCACTATGAGGTTTCAGTTCTGCGATTTGCTTCATGGGAAAATTAAAAATTGAGGCAAAAAAACAGAATCCACCAAGTGTATGTGGCTCATTTTAAGCCTTAAATAAATGGAATAAATGAGGAAAAAGTAAAAATTGCAGATTTGAAATCTGACAATCCAAAAGATGGAGTAATCAGATTAACAACAAGTGAAATCCTGTCTATAATGTAGCCTTTGCTACAGAATTAAGCTGTATTAACTCTGTTATGTTCGTCTCACAGCACCTGTAGCTATAATTACAGGAGCCTTTTAGAAGATTCAGAAAATGCTGGTCTAATAATATTCACGTTACAAGCAAGTGCAATATTAACTTAAAAAAAAAACATGAAGTCACTGTAAATTAGATGTAACAATGTCTCAAAGGCCAGGATGAGAGGTTAGGAACAAGGATAAATTCGGCAGCAGACATTCTCACAAAAGGCTGGGTGTCATTATGAAAACAGTCTTTTTTCCAGGACTCTGTCAGTTCAAAACTGGAGAGTTTTTTTGTGAAACCACAACCGTGGGTGCTGAAGGAGCATGTGTAGTAAAGCTTCCGGTCTTTATGGGAGTCACTTTCAGCTGTGCGGGCCTTTGTCATTGTTCTGGGATGTGATTTTTTCATGAGATAAGGAACATGTTGAAAAAATAAAATTCCAGCTCACAATGGAGCTTAAAAACAAAAAAAGGTCCCATTATTGCTCTTGTGTCAATCAATTCCTGCGCTACGTAAACAATGTCTTCTTTTTAAGGCATAAATCAGAGCACTAAAGGTCGCCAGGACTGCGGCTAGTCTTTACAGGAAAGAGAGGGGCCAGCTGTTGGGTGCAGATAAACTGGCAGGCTGCTCTCCTGCCGTGGAGATGACTGGTGCATGTACAGCCTGCATAGAGCAGTGATGGGAGTCTGCTTTGGCATGACTCCAGCTGTGGCTACCAGAAGTGCCTTTTTACAGCAGAGCATTGTGTCACATGTGTGTTCCTGTTTTTCTCATGTGTGCCCTGTTGCCTGTGTGTAATGCAGCTCCCTTGCTGTTGCCGCTTGAAGCATTTTTCCCAGGGTACTATAGACAGTCTGGTCCTGCCCTCGGGGATCTGTGATAGCTCTTGGAATATGCACGGGGATTTTTTTATAAATCACGGGGACAAAAATTGAGCACAGCATTCCATATAAGGGCATAGTAGTACATTGTTCAATGTAAACATAACATTCCATGCTTTTAACAATATTATACATCCTAACATCATGTTTACTTTTTTATTGTTTCTCAACATTGTCAAGAACATGTACTTGATGTGCCGCCATGAACACCTGTGATGTTAGTCAAAAAATGTAGTCAGTCACTTGCAGGTGAGACCTGGTGCAGAAGGACAGGTCTGGGGAGCACACTGCTCTCCTCTTGCATGTTGTGCTTGGCTCAGCCCAGCCCCAGGAATTTTACTGTGCAGAGTTCTGCCCCAGAAGGAAGTGTTTTTTATTTTAAAAACGTCTTTCTTCAATAAATAGCTGTGAAGGCAAATTAACCTCTAATGTGCCACAAGCCAGATCCCTCCCCCCTGGGACCTCTATCAGAACTGCTTAAAGTAATTGAAATAATCTGAAACAGCTGTAATAAACCTATACATTTTTGTGCCCAAGGATGTGTAGACCAAAAAAAAAACAGAGCTGAAGAGTTTTAGTCCTAATTTATAATAGGACACTATGTACTGCTGTAATAATAATACCAAATGCCAAAAAAGGAAATGCTAAGTAACAGATGACAAAATATTTTTTGTCCTTTATTTAACCAGATGAGTTAACTGACAACACATTCTCATTTATACTGACAATATTCACTATTTACTGGAGTAATGTGAGCGAAGTACTTGAAGGACTCACGAGCACAACTGCAGCATGTTATCCAGGATCCAACAGCACCTCCTTCCAGGTCAGTCCTAACCTCCACTGCTGTTCTGCACATTAGAATAAAGTAATAAAGTAAGTCAATAAAAACGGCTTGCGCAGGCTTTGCATGGTGGGAGCAGGCACCGAGGCACAGCCAACACAGTAACTAACAGGCTCAGCTGGATGAGTCTGGGCAAATCTCGGAATAAAAAACACAGTCGATGAAGAAAGCAAGGAACTACAGTATTGTTAATTTAAAGTCATGTATAAAAACAAAACTTTAAACCTTCAATAAAATAATTTTAAAAAGCAGTCTAAAATTAATAATCAGCTCAAAACCTAAGTAAGTATTAAAAATGTAATGTTACTCATGATGCTTTAAAATAAATGGCAATTAATAGGCTGAAGGTAGTGAAATGACTGTAGATAGTTGTTCAGTCCAGATGAGTCTTGGGATTCACAACTCACATTTCACATAGTTTGGGAACACGTGCCGTGTAAATCATGAACTACCTGTGCATGTGTGTGATATTGTACCTTCATGTGTTGCTTTTGATTCATTAGGGACTTTTCCTCAAACGCAAGAAAATATAATGCAACACCCTCCAATGCAAAACCCCTTCTCCCACCCCCTTTAAGCCCCTTTACCTTTCTCCCTAAGGACCCCTAGAATACAGTCAGACAGCTACAAGAGAACCCCTGTGCAAGCTGACATTGTCAGCAGCAACACGCCAAGTCTCCACTGTCTTCCCACCAGCACTGTGACTCCCAGCAGCGGAAAGATCCCTATAGATAAGAATAAGGTAGAATAAGATCCAGGGATGGCAGAGGTTCTTTGTGTTATTCACCTTTTTACCATAGACCCTACTATAACATGGGGCCTTGTGAAACTCTTTGAAAAAGAGGTCCGGTCCGTTGATTGATAGACTGGCTCCCAGGAAATGTACAGTACAGAGTGTGACAAACCAGGGTTCAGGAAGTCGTAACAGGATCTATAAACTAGTAAGACAGACGCGCCAACACGGCGGTAAGTTATAAACCAGTGTGGTTTGTTAAAAGTGCGTAGAAATATAACCCCACCATAACAAAAATAAAAGATAAACTCCGTATGAGCTGCTAACTAGACTTCAGCAAGGCCCTCTATCAATATTGCCAAGCAGCTATGGTTCTTATCACCTCCTCAAACAACTCTCACTGAGTCAGACTTCAGAACTCTGATTTCAGAGATTTCTCATTTCACAGTTCCTCAGGAACACAGTTGCTTGGACAGTAGCTTTCTATTCCCTCTGGGTAGTTTGCACACAGAAGATCTGTCTTCTGTCTCAAAACAGCAAATTCAAAACCAGTCAAGGAAGCCTATGCTTCATGCTTTTTAAACTGTTACTGGACCAGTTGTCTTGCAGGTACTGGTCAAGTAACTGAGGGCCGCAGCTCACTCCCCACAGCTTTATGGGGGTTCCAACAGTTATCTCTATTTTGACTGAATTTACTTCCTTCTTACAAGAGGAAGAAAACTATTGGGGCATCCAGCTGAAAAATACTAGTCTATAAAAAGTGTCTGCTCAAGTCTGAAAAGAACAGCAGAGCATAATGCCATCAAGCCGGTTAGTGTAAATTCCAAATGGGATGCAAAAAATCAGGGAGAGAAGGTATAGATGTGTAATAATGTGTAAATTCTCTTCCAGACCTATACTTGATGCACTGGCCTGACTGCATATCTCCTGGGAGATCCAACAGGGAGGTGCGGGCAGAGACGTGGAGGGCACTGGAGGAGTTGCACGACAAAGGTACACAAGTCCGACTCTGATAGCAGGGCAGCCTGAGCAGCCTGAGCTCCACTGAGAAACTCGTCAAGTGTGCTAGCTCAATTCAAAATCAAGCAATAGCTGCACCTCTTCCTTATTTAGTTCATGTATGTAGCTGTGTCTGCCTGCATATGGGCTGCAAAGGAACAAGTAAAGGTTTATTCCATGCTGAAAAGAGAAGAAAAGAAACACAACGTTTCGGCTGTGGACCCTTCTTTGGGTCCAAGAAGGCTGAGTTTTTTTTCACAATTCCTTGTTACAAACTCAAATAGAAATACATACAGTATATACTTTGTATGGAATTTTTTGTCACTAGTGTACACAAATTACTCTACAATGTCAAACCAAACAAGTTCTAAATACAGACATATAAGACAGATAAGAATCTGTAATTGCTGTAAAAAATGCTTCGACAAGGTAATGACTCAGGAGGGTGAATTCTCGAATAAACAAGATGTTTCAATTTTTCATTTTTCTTAAAAAAATTTTACACTAAAATATTTTGTCCATTTAAATGTTGCATATGTTGTGTGGATCAAAGGGGGAAAATCATATCAATGCATTATAAACTCTGTTCTTAATACAATGGTATTTGCGGTCATGCAGGTTAGGTGAATACTTTTTAGAAAACACTGCTTGCCAGTTCTACTCGTGAGTAAACAGCCTCTAGAAATCCAGGTGATTATGCTTCGCTGTTTTGTTTATTATTACCACAGGATCAGATGGCCTCTGTTTCAGGGATTTCAATTAGCATTCCATGCGAACAGTAGAAATCGCAACATGAAGCTGCCTTCCATCAACCATCTCCTCCACATATGAAAATGGATAGCTACAAAAGGCACTTTCTTTAAAAATAAATATATGTTATTCCCATAAGATTTTAATGTATAGCAAATTTTACTCTCACTTGTCGTGATCACAATGTATTGCTACCGAGTCTCTGGCTGGATAGTGTGCTGGAGAACTCTGTTGTATTAGCCAACCAACTGTGTTTAGTTTCTATGCACATGCCACTGCTTCTGTAGAATTTAGAAAAGAAAATGATGGTATTTTATTATTTTAAACCGCTGTGAGAAAAGAGAATCTTCGAGGCACAAAGTACAATTTTTAGAAGTTTGCTGTTGTTTAACTTAACTGATCAAATGATGTACCATCAAAATAACAGCGCTATCTAATCCATCCTTCTATTTTGTCTGGGAAGAGTTATTGAAGCAGAATTTCCCAGAAATCAGACTCACAATCTGGCTCTTTCATGTGCGTTTCTTGATGTTTCGTCCTGATTTTATGTAAGTTTGCAGTCACTCCATTGTTGTCCCTTTATTGGATTTTGAAACAGCTAAGAATGCTTTTTGTTTTCAGTAGTTATTTTCCTGCTAGGTCAGGTTTTTGTAATATTCTTTTGTTGTCAGTGACCTATAATCCTTACCAGGGATGTGCAGAGCGGGGTGGCTATAGTGTCTCAAGCCCCTGCCCCTTTGCCCTCATTGGCCCAAGTGCCCTTTTTTGCTTGTAGAAAAAAAGTCCAACCAATTTCATTTTTTTTTTCGCCACTTGATGATTCCAGTTCTGTATTTAGTACAGAATTTAGTATTTAGTATTTGTAAACTGTATTTAGTATCTCCCGTTAGGAAAAAAAAAATCTTGGACCTAATTGATCTAATCCGAGCACAAGTTCCCAACTCCTGTTCATTGTAAAAAGCAGCGATAAGCAATGTAGGCTACTACACCTATGGAGGTCGTGTTAAACATTTTTGAACAGTGAGAAGATACACAGATTTTTCAAAA